CACTTATCAAGTGCCAGCCTTTTACTTGAATTGAGGACATCCTCCTTTAAACAAAGGCTGATTCTAATGGACTTACAAAAAGACTCGGCAGCTTTTGCAAACTCTTTGGTATTCAAAACTGTAGAAACMTTTCTGGTAAGCACTGCGTCCCACACCACCCTCTTTAGAGACCTTTAGATACGAGAACGAGTACGAGTTTTGGCCKCGCGCTCATAGTGCGCATGCGTAGGCAAGCGTGACACTGTCACGATGGCGGGAAACTCGTCGGCCGCGCGTCGACGACGAGATTTGGAAAGAAAGTCGTCCCGTAGAAAACGATTTTTAAAAGGTGAGTTTTTTCATTTTAAATATAATCAATTCCTTTCAAAAGTAAACCAGAGGAACCTTAATTTACTGTGAACATTGTGTACAAACAAAATGCTCATACACAGCGTATTTTTTGCGGAGTACTTTTTTAAACACCCTTCTCACAAGTACAAACTGCAGTTTCTTCTGGTTTGAGTTAAAGTTATAGAGCGTTACTTTATTACGAAAACAATTTTAAATACTGCAGGATTCAAGATAATAGTTTTTAAATGAACACTATAAACTTCATGAACCGTAGTTGAAATATTTTCACTCAAAAATCTTTGTTTACGACTGAAAAAATACTTTTGAGAAACAAAACTATAAAACCAAAACAAATCCAATGAATTAATTGAATTAAATAAAACGCTCAGGGATTTATGAGAGTYTTATCTGATTATTTCTTTGCAGATATGGCTCAACGCCTTTTTATTTGGAAAAACGTACATGATACTAYGCTTCTGAGAGAGGTTGTAATTGAAGTGCCTCATAAGCACAAGCCTGGTTCAAAAGAAAGGGGGCTTGCATGGGACAGAATTGCAGAAAAACTCAAAGGGAATCCGGAGATGAGGGTGACGAAAAGGTCATGTAGAGAAAGATTTGACAAGCTATATAAAGATTTTAAAAGGCGCGAAAGCCAAGAGAAGAACAGAAGTCGAGTATGATGAGATTCACCAGGCCCTAACAGACATTCATGAACTGATAACAGATTATGAAGAAGAGAGAGGTGAGAAAGAGAAGAAGGAGAAAGAGCAGGCAGAGGAAATGAGAAGAAGAGCTGCAGAGAGATTGGGGGAAACAGAGAAGCGAAAACAAATGAGCAATGATGATGATGATAATGATAATGATGATGATGACGAGGAGGAGAGTGGTCCAACACCAAAAAAGAGGAGAAGTACTGCAAGTATGTCTGACCTCTTAGAGCAGTGTATCACAAGAAAAAAGAAGGAGAATGAAGCCCAGCAAGTGTTGAGAGAGAGGGACTTGGATGTTCAGCAGCAATTCCAAGCCATGATGCTGCAACAGCATCAGCAAGTGCAGCAACAGCTGCGGCATCAACAACTGCAACAACAGCAGTTTCAGCAGCAGCAGCAGCAAGCAATGCATTTGAGTATGGTACAAACACTTGCTGAATTACTTAAAAAGAATTAAGTAGGAGTAGCAAATATTTTTAACATTTTTTATATGCTTTTGAAAGCATCTTTAAAAAATGATTACTTATAAAATGTACTTACATTTGGTATTAAAAGCAACACATAATTTAAGCCTGTCTTTTCTGGCTCACTGACATCAAAGTCAATCATTTTAATAGTTAAAACTATTATATGGGTTGGCTGAAATTTCCTAAATAAAGTCTGAGTTGAAACCTTTCTAATAACAAGAGTTCTAAATTTGATAAGTGCTTTTAAATATATYATAGGGTTCTTAACTGCACTGATTGCTTTAAGTGCATGGTTTTAATTTTTTTATCACATAGAGAGCATGAGTTACTTGTAAAAAAATATGTGAATGGCATTGCTCAAATATATGAATTTTGCTATTTGTACCAATGAATTTGCACAAATATTTTGTTTAGGTAATTCACAAATACTGAATACATCTCTGCTTAATTTACATTTAAAATTGAAAATATTCCTGGATTGTTGGAGCAGTTAGATAAAAAAATGTACCAGTGTTTGAACCATATAGACAAGTATAGGCATTTCTTAAAAGTGCACATGCAGTGTRCATTGTRCCAACAGGACTTAGACCTATCTTAAGGTTTCTTTTAAAATCAAGAAAAGTGAARAAATTAGTTATATCCCCCAATACCCATTCTACTCCCACACGAACTGAACTCATTGAAGCATTAAAGGCCTGTTGATTAGGGGTTATATTTGCTGTCCTGTATGGAGCCATCAGATTTATCCTTAAGGGATATGCAKGATCACCATATATACAAAGCGGTGCACCTGAAATACAATGCAATACGATCTTTAATAATTAYATCATTCCATCATATTTAACATATAGAACATATACAGCCTTTTACAAAAATTATGAGAATTGTCTAATTATCTAAATATCATAATATYCATATCAATATATTGTCCRGAACACGCGGGTTTGCAAGAATAATTCATTGTTGACATCGAGAAAATGTTCAGAACTTCTGATAGGTCCGTTGCCGAAAAAATCCCTAAACTACAAAGACAAGGAACAAAGGCCATCGTGAGGGATTACCCATCATGCACTTGATATAATGATATTTAGATATTTCAACAATTCTCATAATTTTTGCAAAAGGCTGTATATTTAACATATATAAGTGTGTGAAAATATTATAATATACCTGTAGTACTTCGAGAGTAAATCGGCAACTGATCAAGGAGACCAGACATCCTTGGCATTGATGAGTCATGTCCT